TACCTCGCTCAGAATGGTTTCTTCGAGTTCCATCCATTTTCCTGCAAATTTCAAGATTGCATTGTTTTTTTTCTGCTGGGTAGTACTCCACTGTGTAAATGTACCACAATTTCTCTATCCATTCTTCGGCTGAGGGGCATCTAGGCTGCTTCCAGTTTCTAGCTATTACAAATAATGCTGCTATCAACATGGTTGAACATATGTCCTTGTTATATGAATGTGCTTCTTTTGGGTATATGCCTAGGAGAGGAATTGTTGGATCTTGTGGTAGACTCATTCCCATTTTCTTGAGGAGTCACCATACTGATTTCCACAGTGGCTGTACAAGTTGGCACTCCCACCAGCAGTGGAGGAGTGTTCCTCTTTCTCCGCATCCTCTCCAGCATAAACTGTCATTGGTATTTTTGATTTTAGCCATTTTGACAGGAGTAAGATGGTATCTCAGAGTTGTTTTGATTTGCATTTCCCTGATGACTAAGGATGTTGAACACTTTCTCATGTGTCTTTCAGCCATTTTAGATTCTAATCATCACCTTTGATCATCAACCAATTCTAGCAAGAAAAGTAGGTCACCTAGTAACAACAATTGGGCTACTTTGTATTTTTGACCTCAGCTATGTGTCCTTGTGAACTTTAGATTGTTTTCTAGAGTTTTTCATCTCAAACCTATTATCAAAATATCTGATCTAACCTGAAGTTATTGTAAGGCATTGTTTCAACTAATGATGCACTCCAAAACCTTTGAACATATATCCCAACATTAAGATTAGTTGAATTTAAACTAGCTCGGCTACTGGGACTCAATTGTTTTTCTTAACCATTACCTTAAGCCATAGTCTGTATGGCTCCTCAATAGAAATTCATGTGTCCTAGCTGTGTAACACTTCCTTGTTTATATTTTTTATCATCAAAACTCTATTTAAACTAACATCAGGCTGGAGAGATGGCTCAGAGGTTAAGAGCACTGGACTGCTCTTCTAGAGGTCCTGAGTTCAATTCCCAGCAACCACATGGTGGCTCACAACCATCTATCATAAGATCTGGTGCCCTCTTCTGGTGTGCAGGTAAATGTGCAGACAGAACACTGTATATGTAATAAAAAATAAGTAAATAAATTAAAAAGTAACATTATTAATTAGACAGTACAGCATAAGAAGAAATGATTGGTTGTAGAGAGGGAGGAGTGATGAGCAAAGGGGTCAAGACCATGCTGGGGAAACCCACAGAAACAGCTGACCTGAGCAAGTGGGAGCCCATGGGTCCCAGTCTGACAGCTGGGGAACCAGGATAGGACCAAACCAGGCCCCCTGAAGGTGGGTGTCAGTTGGGAGGCCTGGGGCCTCTTGCGGTGGAACCAGTATTTATTCCTAGTGCACAAATGGGTTTTGAGAGCACATTCTGTATACAGGGATACTCTCTCAGTTACATACACACAGGAGGACCTAGGTCCTGGCCCAGATGATGTGACAGACTTTGATGATTCCCCCATGGGAGGCCTCACCCTCCCTGAGGCATGGATGGGCAGTAGGATGGGGGACTGGTGGGGGGCACGGTAGGACAGAAGGAGAGGGAACTGGGATTTGTATGTAAGGTAAGATTGTTTTTAATTTAAATAAAAATTTATTTTAAAAAAGAAATGATCTTCACAGCAATCTACAGGTAAAAATGCCCAGCAGAATGGGATATATCCATGAAATAAACACACTACATTACAAGCAATGGGAATCTTCCCCCAAACCATTCATACCATGTCTGATACCTGAGAAAGAATCTGCAGCAAACATGGAAAGGCACAGAAGAAGCAATGGACATTCCAGGGTCTGTGGTCTCAGGGCCTTGCCTATCCAAGATTCATCCAGCAGGGACTTGACTCCTGATGGGGCTGACACCTTGAACTTCATTTGCCACCTGATACTACTTAACATGGCCACTGGCATCTACTTATGTATAAAAATAAAAAGGAAATATAACAAGCTCATAAATAAGCATTTATTCCTCATCATGAATTAGTTTACAAAATCACTTCCTTTAAATTTATTTATCTATTTAGTGGCAGTGTTTTCTGGCCTGGAACTCGCTATCTAGACCAGGCTGGCCTTGAACTCACAGTGGTTCACTAACCTCTGCTTCCTGACTTCCCAGATTTATGGGAACATCTGACCTCTGGATTACTTTCTGAACTGCTTTGAAAACTCCATTTGCCTAAGGAGTTATGAGAGAAAAAAAAACATATCAGAAAAGATACACTTTAATTCAAGATGGCCTGTTCATAGGAAAATGTTTCTTGGGTACTTCACTGTGCAGGGGAGCTGGAAGAAAAGGAGCACAGGAACTGACTGCCATTGCTGCTCCTATGCTCCTACACAGTCTTATGTAAAAACTGTTTCATTACTAAATAGCTCTTTAGAACCTCTAAATACTCAAGAAAAATGCTTTAAAGTATTCATTTTGTAAGTAATTGAAAATACTGCTGATACAAAATCATAGCTTCCATACCAGTTTTTCAAAATGAAAAATAGATTTACCTATCCATAAACTTAAACAAGTATGAGAATTATAAGTAGATGCTATACGTCTGAAGCAACCAAATGGATAAAATGAATTTTGTTTGCAGTGTACTATAACCAATTAAAGATAATTTCAAAAAACAGTTGAAATGCGAATACCTATGACTACTTTATTTATTAATGTAATATGTGGTCTTTATTATTTCAGCCTACTGATGCAACAAAGGTTGCCTCTCATCCAATTACAGGAGAAATTCAGGTATGAAAACCTTTAAATATCATCATTCTATCATATTTTCTGTTTTTATTATTTGTCTATTTGAATTTCTAACAGTCTATTTGGACCTTTCACTTTCTATAACATATAGAAAAAGCTGTAGAAACACAATGTTACCCCATAGTGTGTGTGTGTGTGTGTGTGTGTGTGTGTGTGTGTGTGTGTGTGTGTGTGTGTGTGTGTGTGTGAGTGTGCCCGCGCACGCACGCACGCACACCCGTGCACGCGCATGTGTGTAGAAACTAGTCATAGCTTTAAAATTCCAGACTGCAAAATCCTCAGTCAGTAGGTCCTCAGCTTCAGCTAGTGTGTACTTGTTGAATGTTTCACACACAACTTCTCCTTCCAAAAGCTCGAAGGCCCATCTTCAAGCTTCATAAACCCAGTGATGTCTTTTGTTAAATAATTGATTTCTAATTATTTATAAACAACTATCATAATGATTTTTTTCATATTGTAGGTCATAATAACTTTGTAATTCATAAGGTAAATATTTTGAATGGAATGAAATAAAAGGACAAAAATTGTTACTTTAGTTCTGCATATAGTTCTATTATTTGTATATTGTATTATCACAGTTTATATATTATTGTGAGTCACAGTAACATGTTTTTAAAATTTGGCTTTAGGTAATATCAAAAATTAATTGTATATAGATGACAAATGTCAGATAGAAATTAACACAGTACAAATTAGCTATCAGAGGACAACAAGGTTCCAATAAGGAAAAACAGGTGTGTCTCCAAAATAGTGTAAAGAAAATTCTCACAAAGGACTTCACAGGGCAACAGAGATAAGAATGAATGGTTCAATAATCATAGGGGAGGGAAAAACGTGTCACCGGAGGCAATAATACACAGAAAACTTCATTCAGAGTCGAGCAATGATGGACTCAGCTTTGAGAGGCTGACCCTTAGAGAAAGAGCCTTGGCTGCAAGCAGAGGTGACTTACGGCTCACATGATATAGTACAGTATTACATCTTCTAGAGTGAGAGGCAGAGGGATAGGGGAGCATAGTAAATGCTGTGTATCAATAGTCTATCGAAGTATTACAAGAGCAAAAAATGGGTACAAAGATGGAGAAGTGACTGCATACACAGGAAAAAGCAATGAGGATGCAGAGGGGCGTCCCTGGGTGCCTCGCCTGGACAGAACTGGTGCGATTGGAAATGACTTGCCATGCATTCCTGATCTTGCTGTCCTTTTGCTGGTTGCCAATGTTTTCACCAGACCTGCCTCTCCTCATTCCATAGGCAACACAGGACATACTTCGACTTTTGAGTCTTACTAATTTTCTCCTACATTTTTAACTTTTTGCCTTTAGACTGATACTTGTTGTTTCTGTTTGGTTTGATGTTCCCTTGTTTCTGATCCCTCAGCAGTTAGACATAATTCTGAAGTTGAGATTTTCCTGACACAATGCCTCTTAGCAATTAACTGGCTCTCAACCTTCATAATGCTCATGTTGTAGGGACCCCAACCATAAAATTACTTTTGTTGCTACTTCATAACTGTATATTTGCTGTTATGAATATTAGTGTAAATATTTTTGGAGAGAAAGGTTTGCCAAAGGAATTACACCCCACAGGTTGAGTGTAAGGATAAATCTTTCCACCATCTGCCCGAGTTCCGCCCACCACCACATTAAGGTCCCAAGTAACACAGAGAGACTTATATTAGGTACAATGCTGCTGGCCAATGACTAGGATTTATCATCTGTAAGATCAGTCTTAATTATCAACCTTAACTATCAATCTATATATTTATAAGACTTATGGAGGATGCCAGCCTTGAATCCTGCCTTCCTGGTGGTCACATGGACGCTCCACAGAGAGGAGGAGGATGTAATTTCCTGCCTGGATCACAAGTCTTTACTACATTTCCAAGAATCCTCCTTGACTCCTAGTCCTGCCTAACTTGCTGCCTCATTGGCTGGACAATGCTTAATTCAACAATCAATAAGACAAACATACACAGAAGGATGTCTCCTATCAGTTGAGAACCACTGAGTTAGAATATCCTGAAAGTTGGTGTTTCAGTTAGTTCCCCTTTTGTGGCAAAGCCTTATCCCATGGCACACAGGCAGTAGTAATCATGAAGGTACAGGCACTGGAGCCCCTGTGTGTGAGGGTGACCCAGATCTCACACTGGTCTGACCCCTGAGATTCTTGGAGGTTTGGGGGAATGAAGGAGGAAAGTTTTGAAAAGCAGTCTCTCAAGGAGGCCTGTAGGTTTCTATGTCAGTGAGAAATAAATCAAGTTCAGTGTCACTTGAAAGTGAGCTCCGGAGAAAACAAAGTATGGATTGTTGACCTTGGTGTTTCTGTGTCCTGTCATAGCACACAGTTCTAAAATCCCTGTCTTTGTTTTTCCCTCAGGACACATTACTTTGTTATCCACGCATTTTTCTTGGTCATAAGAAATACCTAGGCTTTCCCCTGTGGAATTCTGCAATTAAAAGTTTATTTTTTATTGAAAACATACCCATTTGTGCCAAAATGGTGATGTATATTAATTGTGAAATTTCAAGCAAAAATTTGACCCATTTCAGTTATTCCACTTTCAGTTTAAATACTACCTATCATTTTTTATGAATTATGTTTTTACACATAAGTTACTTCTTTGAAATACAGGTCTTTTCATTTCTATTAATTGGAAAACTTAAAGGAATTAAGACTCAATCTGTATGATGACAGAAGTATCCTTCAATAGTAAAAGAGAAAACTATTGAGCTCAATCATTTTAGAGTATGACAGTTTTTTTTTAAATATTTACCTGAATTGTAAATCTTTTTCTTCAATGACAATGTGAACATCTAATAAGCATCTTAGAAATAGGAGGCACCTCTCCTCTTCAACTTAAGTTAGTATCATATTAGTCTCTTTCTTTATAACAAGTGGTTCAGAAAGAGAAACTACAAGCTTACTCTTAGGGAAATTAGGAAAAGTGAAATCTAGTTTTTCTTTAATTTTTACATCTCAATACTGATAGAATCCATTCCATATAACCTTGCTTCTCATCACTCATTGATGAAATGTATTTTATAATATATTTCCAAGTCATTTATTTTACTTTCAAAATTCTAGTAACTGCAAAAATGAATAAAAGCGGGGTATATTCTTTTGCTATGAATAAATTTTAATTATGAAAATATAATAAATATATACTATATTACTTTCCTGCTAAATGAACTTTTCCTAGGCCAAGACTCTTCACTGGGCAGAGTCTAGTAAGCATGAATATTATGTTTATTAGAAATCCAGACATGTCTATGAGCTTCCAATTAAAGTGGGCATTAGCTGTTTAGTTTCAAATACAATTGAGATGAAGTAGGTAACTTCATATAAAATTTTGAAAAGCTAGCAAAGTATGAAATGATAATGTTTCACACATCTTACTGTCTTTTCATTGAGTTGTTTCTATACCCCAAAGCTTCAAATCAACTATGATCTTGGAAATCTTATAATACATATTCTTCAAGCAAGAAATCTTGTCCCTAGAGACAACAATGGCTACTCCGACCCTTTTGTTAAGGTGTACCTACTTCCAGGCCGAGGGTAAGTAATGAGGCACTGTCTTCTAAGTGTTACAGCGCGCAGTCTAGACAATCCTAAGAGAATCTTCCATTCTTTAATCTCCAAGCCTAACCTGGATTACCCTTACCCTGTACTTAGTTTGCTTTCACTGTTATATTTATTTCTAATTAGTAGATAAGATTGAATTAATATTTTAAACAAAGTCCTTAAGAGTTCTGAGAGAGCAGTAGCTAGAATAAAATCAGTCTCCCTGAGCATAAGCAGCATTTTGATTGTGGGAACCACTCTTGTGCTGTGTGGTCAGATTAATTCTAAAAGCAAGTAAGAAATTGTGGCAGATTTCAAGAACTAACTTATATCCCTAAACCCACTTGAAAAATCAACCTTTGTTTACTTTCATTTTATACAATATGAGTCAAAAATGATTTTGTATGAAACCTTCTTTATAGACACATTTCCAAATCAATGTTTTAAAAATAGTAACATTTGAGGTGATGATTTTGCTATATAAATAAAAGATATTTCATTGAATCTTTTGTGAGATGTGTACATTGTTGATATAAAGTAAGTGTCCTGGACTTTTGGTCTAACTCCATGGTGCCATATGTGTTTAACATACCTGAATACATCAGTGCCTAGCCCCAAATAAAAATACTCAGTAAAGGATTATATGTTCTTTGGAGATGCATAAGAACTGATTATATTATTGATGCTAATAGCTATGTTATGGTACATAAACAAGTACTTGAGAATTATTTAGAACAGAGATTTGACATTTACAAATCACTGTCCCTTATCTAAGCTACTTATATTAGCCAAATTAATGTGGTGGAACCATGAACAGTCAACAGATGGAGGTGTATTGGAAAACTTCCTCAGCTGATGGCAACATTGGTTTCATTTTGCTTTAATTTGGAGGTGACATTTAAGAAATTATTTTTTCTTGGAAAATTTTAAGCATAGCACAGAAGCAGAGAGCATAGTCTAGTGGATGACCATGCTTTATCTTCAAAAGCTTTTAATTACAGGCCAATTAGATTTCACATTTACTCTTATATGCTTCCTATATCCAGATATTTTGAAGAAAATTCCAGCAATGAACTCTTTTTGCAAATATTTCAGTGTGTATCATTAAATGATAGTTCATTTAAATTTAACAAATAATTCTTTAGTTTCCTCAATAATGTTTCATAATATTTTGGGTTTGCTTGAGAACCTGACTAGTGTTTATAGAACATGCTACCCATCAACAGCAAACATTCTGCACAAGTACATTGTGTGCTGTAAAGCCTCAACAGACTTAAAAGCAACCACATTATACAAATGTGTGTTCTAACCATGATTAGCTTGTCTGAAAAAGAGCCATAATTAGAGTTACATACACACTGCTGTTTACTTGCTAAGTCACCACAGGCAGATCCCCAATTACTTTGTTACTCAGGTTCTTTGTCAATATTAACACAACACAATCATAATTTTTAATTTATCAATGAAAACAAATCATATAATATAGATGTTTACAAAGAAGAGTCAGAAATAGGTTGATAAACGGTAGTTTATTGTGGAAAAGTACTCACGCAAGGCAGCCAGTGACCAGGTTTTCACCTGAGCAGGATGGACCCAGAAATGCTTCCCAGTCAGCCCAGCCAGGTGAACAAGGGCCACCTGTGTGCCCCTCTCCTTCTTAAACACTTGTTACGAAACTCAAGTACATCTAATCAGGATTTCTCCCTACAATATAATGCAGGGAGAATAAACCACAGCGTACCTGCTCTAATTCCCTATAGCTACCTCAATAATTTCATTTAGAAAGTTAGAATTGTTGATGGGGTTGGTCTAATTTTATTTTCTTACGGATTTTTGAAATCCCCAATAATTCTTATATAGAATCAATAAAATAGACACATAACCCAGGAAAGAGGATCTTTTATTTTACTTTAATTAACTAGTAAGTTTATATATTTGTATATAAAATTTGGCCACATCTTTTAACGGGGTATGACAAAAATAACAAACAAACAATTAAAACATTATTTTCATTTTGGTTATGAGAACCTTTGTGTTCTTTAAAGAAATAAAGAAGTTATGGGAAATTTTCTTAGGGATTTTCTCTAAGCATTTTTAAACGGATTAAGGGAAAAGGTACTATCATTTATTTTCCATCTTCCTTACAGTGGCTCTCAGTGTCTACACAAAAAATACTTATATGCATCCATGGTGTGACTTAGGTAGAAAGCTGCAAAGTTTAATAAGCAGAACAGATAGACAGATACTATAATACATAACTGGGAAAGATTGAAAAGTGTAGTTGAAATAGACCAAAAATGCACACCTCTTTTATTATCCTCTTATTGTTCAGCCAACCATCCCTCATAAAGTGGAATTCAGCTGTGAGGTAGCTAACGTGTTCAATCCCTAGACTGTCATTAGGTTTCACTAATTACTGAGTGGCTGGATATTTACAATGTATTTGACATGTAACAGATGTTTCACTGTAGCTCTGAGATTATCTTTAGCTGTGAGTCAGTCTTATGCTATGTACTGTGTCTGTGACTGCTACTCGCTTACTTCCAGTCTATCTCTGTTCCTAATATTTTTCTTCCTGTCTCTCCATTTTTCCTGCTGTACCCTTTACTCTGGCTTCTGGAATCAATGCAGTCAAGTCATGGTTGTCCAGAATGCAAGGTAGAGTTGATTCTCCTTCAGTGTCAATTAGTCTCTTATGCCTAGCCTTGTATTCTGTGTGTTTTTAAGTACATCAACCTGAGTTGTAACTATTACTTCAACCTGAGTCGTTACTTTTCTACCAGTGTATGTCTGTTGAATTAGACTACAACAAACAGTTCTGACCAATGTGCAATAGGACATAGAAAATTAGGAATTATTAAAAAAAAACAGAACTAAAGGATGAGGAAATTTTATCGTAAAATTTATGTAACTGCAATTTTTCCTTCTATTCTATGTACTGAATCTCATTTAGCTGCTAATGTGATAATTGCAGCAGAGGTTTTCCTAATTTCCTATTACAAATGAAGATATTGCAAGTGTTTTTAAGTGAATCTATGGACTAGTCCTATGGGAATAATTCATTTTAAATATAATATGTGTCTAATCTGTCTTTCCCTCACTTGGTTTTTGAAATGTTTCCATGATTTATATTTTTTATACTACAAAATCATTAGAAGGCCAAAAACGTGCTTACTATAATGTATGAGTAGTCACATGATCACCTTTCTTTGGTTCTAGTAGTAGGGAAATTTACTGATTTGTTATAGGCTGCCTCACTATCTTACCAACCAAGTCTACCTTCAAGACATAGCCCAAAGAGTTCTATTTGCACATCACCCACTGAATTACAAATTGTTATTTAATTGAAGAAATCCATGTGTCATCATTTTAGCCTCAACTATATTATTAATTTTATAGCATTAGTTTGTCTGTGTTATTAAAATATGACATTTTTATTAATCCTGGAAGGCTGTGACCCAAAAGAGACTGTTTATGATTTTGGAAGATGTAAATATTTATCATCAACACTGGGATCTATTAGCATAGCCTTACTAGTACCTAGAAACTTCATTCCTTAAAGCCACATCATAAGCAATCTATGAACAGAGACACTGTCATGCTTTCTTGTAGTGGCTATCTCTCTGAGTATGGATACCATTGGAGTTTCTTCAACTGATATGTAAAATTAGTTTTGTTTCAACAATAGGGTATCAGTTTAGACCTCACATTATCAATCTCTATATTCCTAATCTCCCTGCCTTTTATCTAAGGAAGCTCAGACAGCATTATCAGAGTGGTGGTTTTCTGCGTTTAATTGATAGGAAGCATGTTCTGGGAGATGTTCGCAATGACTGGATGAGCCTGAAATACTTTGACTGTCATTTGGAAGGTTAAGAAGCCAAACTCTCATCCTTATATCATTTTCACATATCTTTGAGAACTGTCAATGTGAGAGGACATTGAAATGACCATGGAAGCCACTGAATGGAGGACTTAAGAACCTGGGTTTTCAGCATTGTCACTTAGAAGCCATTAGTTATCACATGAGAAGCCAGAACTGTTTTCTTCTGTAACTAAGAACAATAATAACTTCCTAATAACTTCCTTCATGTGTGTGTGTGTGTGTGTGTGTGTGTGTGTGTGTGTGTGTGTTTGTGTATGTGGTATGTGTATGTGGTATGTGTGTGTGTGTTTGTGTATATGAAATATGCATAGTGATAAACCAAAAGTGGGGAGTATCATGTAAGACACATAATCATCTTCTGTAAGTGGCAGTGGCTGTTATTACTTCAGATACTATGTATAATAAGTTTCTATTAGCCAAGGACAGTTAAGAGACAGTATGTGTAGCTACTCAAATATACAAAAGTTTTTACAGTATTATCAAGAAAGCAAAACAACTTTTCTTCAGTAAAAAAAAATATGCAGAGTATTAAAAATAATATAATGAAGGGCAGAGAACTTACTCAGCAGGTGAAAGCACTGGCTAGTCTTCCAAAGGATCCAGGTTCAATTCCAGCACCCACATGGTAACTCACAACTGTCTCTAACACCAGTACCATGGGATACAACATCCTCTTCTATCATTTGTGGACGTTAGACACGCAAGTGGTACACAGACATAAATGCAGGCCAGTCACTCATACACACTCAGACAAGTATTTAAAAGGAGTGGCTTTATGTGGCCAGCCATGTAGTCCAGAAAATGCAAATAGTAATAAATAATAATAATAATAATAATAAAATTAGGGAGAAGGATCCAAGTTCAAGGCCATCCTTTTGTATATGCTGGCATTCTAACTATAGATTAATTAATTATTTGAACGAATGAAAGAGGAAAGAAGAAAAACTAGAAAAGGAAAGACCTGAAAGTAGACTGCTTTGATTTCTAAAATGAAGCAATCAAAGCTGTGGAAAGGTCACGGGACCACCACAAGATCTTACCAGCCAAAAGCCCAGTGTGTGTGTGTGTGTGTGTGTGTGTGTGTGTGTGTGTGGGAATATTTTGCCAT